TTTTTTTTTTGTTTCTTTCCGCATTGGTGGGTGGATTTTCAAAAGTTTTCTTGTTCTTTTGTTAATTTTTGTTTTTGTTTTGTTGCGTGATGGCAGGGCTTGCTTCCCCACCGCCGCCGCCACCTGCGACACGTGCCGCTGCTGCTGGTGGCGGGGGCGTGGGGGAGAGAGGGGCGGATGCAAACATCAGACAGACCTGAGGCAGAGGGAGGGGTATCAGAAACCGGAAGGGAGGGGACCAATAAATAAATAAATAAATAAAATAGGGACGAGGAATGGGGGAGATACAAACAACTACAAGAAGCGCATTCTGCCGTTAAGTTTGTTTTTTTGTTTGGGGGGGGGGGGGGGGTGGNGGGGGGGGTTGCATTTTGAGAACTGCTCTTCACCTCCTTTTTTTTCTCCTTGTGAGCATTCCTTCTTCCCTGTAGACTTAAGCTTTCCTGGCTGTCCTCTTCTTGTCGCAGAAGACGGAAAACCGTTCAGTGCGAGCCCTGCGGCGAGGGTGACAAAAATACCTCAAAATGCGCCCCCACACCCAAAATCCATCGTGCTTTGGTGTTTCGGCTCGTGCGTGCTTCAGGTGCGATTCCTCACATTCTTCACCCGCCTGCAGCCGGCCCTAGTTGACCACGAGGTACATGCGCGGGCGCAGCGGGCTGTACGGGTTGTGCATGTAGCGCTGCTGCTGTCGCCCCCACTCACCCACCGCGAGTTGCACCGCGGACGGAGTGCAGCACGTGCTGCTGTCACCGCACAAGAGCAGCGTAGGGGTAAGCACGGGCGGCCGCAGCGGCCGCAGCGTGTGGCGTACAACCGGCGGCTGCGTGGTATTGGGCGTGATAGTTTGCGGCACCATCGGCGTGTCGCGGAGCGCGTCAGTCCCGTTCGGCTGTGCCGACGTGCTGCTGCGCGTGCTCGAGTCTATCAGGCACATGCTGGTGCTCGCCGACGACTTGGCTGGCGTGGCGACCTCGCTCGGCTGCGTGGTGCGAGCGCCGTGCGTGCGCTTGTTCTGGTGATCCTCAGCGAGCTTCACCATGAGCGGGATGCGGCGGCACGACGGGTACGGCCGCGTGTTGTGAATGGCCTCCGCCGCCTTCTCCGCCACACCCTCCATGAGGAACGCTACAAACGCGATGCGGCGCTCCAGCCGCTTGTCGCCGACACTGGCGGTGTCCTTGTGTAGCGTGACGCTGCCGACAGGCCCAAAGCGGCTGAAGAGGCGCGCCAAGTCTTCCGCAGTGACGTCGAGTGGTATATTCCGCACGAAAAGCTTGAAGATCTTCTTGCGGGCCTCGCCAACAGGAGCGTCGTCGTGCTGCTTCTTCGCCCAATGCACTGAGATGGTGCGGCCGTGTATGAGGCGACCATGGCAGTACTGAAGTGCAGCGCGGGCCTGGTCCGCCGTGGCGTAACGCACAAAGGCGGTGCCAAGATTCTCGCCGGTGTGGATGTTGCGCATCACAGCCGCGGAGACAATCTCACCGTAGGGGGAAAATATGCGCTTTAGATCGGCCTCATTGATTCGGGACGAGAGCTTGCGTATAATGAGGTTGGTGTTGCTCTGATCCGCGGTCGGTGTGAGTTTGCTCTCCGAGAGCTTAACGACCCCCTTCTTCCTCCTTGGCTTGTCCTGGGCCTGTGGCCTGGTTTGCTGTTGCTCGTGGCTGTCGGACGCCTGCACCATATGCTCGGAGGCGTCCTCGGCCGCGCCCTCGCTGACTTGGCCCGACAAATATCCGTCGAACAGCGGAGCCGGGCATGTGGGCTGTGGCTCGCTGCTGTTTGCGACTTCAACCACATTCACTTCTTCAGACGTCATTGTTGCCTCCATTAGATGGCAGGATATTCTCTGGCTTTTTTTTGTGGTCTAGCGCTTTCAGTTGCTACTACCAACTCGTGTGTGTGTGTGTTTCAGTGATATACAAGTAGAGACGAATCAGACGAAAAAGGGGGCGGAAGCGATGTGAGAGTGCAGCAGGTCAGTCGAGCAGGGGCACCGAGGGCAAACAGTAAATCCAACAAATTATCATCGTACGCCATGCCCTTGCACAGCAGTAGCAGTTTTCGTGATGAAAGATATGCGTAAGACGTCATAGCGGCAGTGGATGTGGCAGAGAGCCAACTGTGAAGAGATGAAAAGCGAAACTGCTCAGAGCAACACCAATAGAATTTCCGCTCCACGAGGAGACTATCTGCGTGAATGGGTGCGCTTTTCCTTTTTTTGTGTGTGTTTCACCACTCGCCCTCACTTTCTCTTTCCCTCTACATCTCCGCATTTCTGTGTCTGATTCTCTGACTGTTGGGCAGTGACCCTGGTAATGAACCGAGCAGGAGGTCGCAAAAAAAAAAAACAAAAAGAAAAAAGGATCACCCGCGCCACCACACAGCAAGCCGTATATGACGTGAAAGTAAGTGAAGACACAAGTCGTGACATTAGTATCTATATGAATCAGATGTCGTGAAGAATATTTGTACGCCTCTAACAATTTACAACGGGAGGGACTTCACACGTGTGTGTGGTGTGTATGTGTACGCACCTCACACGACATCATCCCCCTGCGAACAAACGAACAAAAATAAATCAGAACCAACGAGAACAAGCTTCCCCTCCCACAACCTACCTTAGACCGACCGGAGAAATGGCCGACGTGCTTCCAGCATGCTTCGCTCCCGCCGTCACACCCGCCCCTTCTTCTCCCGGTGGCAGGTCGTCCACGGGTGTTGCAGCACCTCCGCCATTGTTGGCCGCGCGTCAGGGTCCTTCTGCAGCATCGCCAGCACCAAGTCCCGCGCCAGCGGCGACATTGGCACACCGTCGCCCAAGTGCGGCGCCGCCTCGCGTATCGCCGCGAGCGTGTCTTGCTGCGACACACGATAGAAGGGCGGCGCGCCGACCAGCATCTCCACCAGCATGACGCCGAGCGACCACACATCGGTCTTGAAGGTGTGCGGCAAGCCACACAACATCTCTGGCGACAGATAGTCCAGCGTACCGCACACCGTCAGCCGGCCCCTGTCGCCACTCCGCTCCCCGGCATCGTCCTTGTCGTTGCTGTTGGCAGGACCTAACGAGAGAGCCACACCGCCGCCGCCGCTGCCGCCGCCGCTGCGCGTTGTTGGATCGTTGACGGTTTTGCTCCATCCGAAGTCCCCCAGCCGCGCGACACCGTGCGCGTCGAGGAGCATGTTCTCCAGCTTCAAATCGCGGTGGGCAATGCCGTGGCGGTGCAGGTACACCAGCGCTCGCGCCGCCTGCCGCAAGTAACGCGCGGCCCGCCGCTCGTCAAAGCGCCCCTGCGGCATTGTCTTAATTTTTTGCAGCAGTGTGCCGCGCGGACACATCTCCAGCACGAGCACGACGCTCTGCGGAGTCACGTAGTAGCTGAGCATACGAACCACGTTGGGGTGGCGCAGTCGGCGGTGGACGTTGATCTCCCATTGCAGCTGCTTCTCCAAATTGAGGTCGCGCAGCCGCCGCCGCGAGAGCTCCTTCAACGCGACGATCTGCTGTGTGGGTAAGTGGCGTGCGGCGACAACGACCGAGTAAGAGCCATCGCCCAGAACCTCCAGCCGCTCAAAGTCCTCATCACGAATGTCCTCCTGGCGAATGACAAGTTGCTGCCGCTCCTTTTCGGGTCGTGGGTCCTGTTGTTCCTGCTGAGACCCAAGCAATCCCTGAGACAGACACTCCACCTCTGACGCGGCGCGTGTCAACTGCGTGTATGAGGAGTTCAGCGACGACAGCTGTGAGTTAGTCTCCGACCCCGACGGGCGGAAGCCGCCAACACGGGTGCGCCACGTCTCCTGCTGCGCCCGCTGCACATCCACCGCGCGGTACTGCTGCATTCCCCCACACCCACACCCTATTACCTATTGGAGTGTTGGCCTGCTTCGATTCGTGTAATTTTTTGTTGATGCTGCTGTTGCTTCTGCGAGGCGACAGCAGGCACGCACAGTTGTGGAGGCTGCAACGACAAACCAGCAGCCACAGAGGCCCGGAGAAGCACACCAACTGCAGACCCACCAGAGAAGTATGGACAAGAGAAAAACAAAACAAAAAAACGACAAAGAGAATACCTCCGTACACAGACGCCCATGGAGAGAAACACATAAAGTCAGAACTCAAAAGCACCCATTCCCACGGCGCTTATTTGTCGTTGTTGTTTTGCTTTCTTTCCTTCTTTTTCTTTTCCATTTGAACCACTTTGTATTTCTCTTCACGCCTCCAGTTTAGCTCAACCACTCGTTCAGGTACGCGCAGCTGCGCGGGTTAATGACACCGATGCCGCTTGCGGAGCACACCGGCAGCTGCGCACAGCCTAGACATGGCAAGCCGACCGCCGGCATTGCCCATGCTCCGGGCTGCGCGACGGCCGCTGGGCCCCACAACCCGCCGGCGAGCAGAGACGCGTGCGGTTCGCGCCCATCGTCGACTTGTGCCGCC